TCTTTTATGAAAAGAAAGTAGAAAATGCTGTCGCCCAATTCTTTGTGCCGGACCATGCGACCATTGATTAAAACAACAGACAAAGTTGTGCAGATCTATAAATGTTAACTGTAACTGTGTTTTCCATTCCATGCCATAACTTCCTGATATAGTTATAGCTCTTAACAGTTTTCTAAACTCACAGCTGAATTTTGAGCATTACACCGCTGGAACAAAACTATTTATTACTGAGTTGCTGCCTTCCATAAAAACACAGAATGCTTGATAAGCTCAAGATTATGATCTCTATTAACTGATAAAAATGTGATTAACTTTCTTTATAATCAGTGTTCATTAGTAAAGTCCTTTGCTGTATTGCAGTCTTAGGATTAATTTTTACTTCAGTAAAGTTCTGCTCAAATAAGTAATGGATGGAGGGTATTTTACTGCAGTCACAAAAATCCTAAACAGGGAGTAGGGAAGGAGTTATACAGAAGCTAAATATAATAAATACAATTTATGAAATGTTATATGCTATTGGACAGACTTACTTAAGTCAAACTCTAATGAATACATAGTGCTATTCACAACTGACAGTCACAAATTGACACTGTGCCTCTCACTAAACACAGTAGCTTTTAAATGTCCAGAGAAGGCTTTTGGCTCCTGCAGACTTCAGTAAATCTGACCCTTAATGGTCCTTATTGTTTATAATTGCAACCTTTGTATTGAATGTATATGTTTCATAGGCTTTTCTTCGTTAAATGTCCTGCATAAAACAACAGAGCATGGTGTGAAAAGTTAGATGGGTGTTTTGCAGTCCATCTTCTACTCAATGAAAATGTCATTGAGGTCAAGAAAAATAGGTTAGGAATAGGAGATAAGAAGAACTTTTGGCACTCACCCAACTTCCCACCACTGGCCAATAGGAAGCCAAAAACGTTGTGGTGACAATGACTCTGCAAAAGAAAAGAATATGGATAGAAATGTATAATCCTATGTTGCTGTTCATTTCTTCACTGCTAGCTTTGTGTTAGCATTAATAACTGTGTATAAAATAAATAACCTTTTTCCATACGGATTTATGTTTTTGTTCCCTGATTGATAAGACTTGGAACAATTTATTAACAATCAAACTTGCATATTCTGATTACCTGGGGCAGTGAATGTCAGCTGGTGGCCTGCAGGACACACACAGTAGCGCACAGTTGTGGTTTCAACAACATCAACAGAGCCACCTGGGCCAGAGGCATCACCTTCCTCACATTAGCTTGTAAATGGCTAATTATGCTTGGAGACTGTCCAGGCAGCCTGCAGAGATGTACTTGTTATCCTCTCTTGTTCATTTGAAGTTTGGTTAGTACTATGAGTATTGAGATGTCAGAGCAACAGTTTGGGCCTTTTCAGGGTATGCCCCCTAGTTGCTTGCTGCAGTACAGTTAATGTGAGTCTGTTAATGCTGACAAAGGCTAACATGCAATTGGTGCCCAAGATAAAATATAAATTTTATTTTACAAGAGCATCTGACCCTCACAGTATCTGCTGAGAAAATTTTAGCCCATGGACAAATATAGTGGATGACTCCTGACCGAGGGTCTAAGTTGGGGTTAGATATACACACCTATATATTCCATGAAAAAATGCGAAGTTAAAGGATAATTAGAATATATTTACATTATTATTATGCAAATATATTTATAATATATTCGGCTCAAAGGTCACATCACACTGTTCTCCCCTACATGGACATGAATACGCTGCTTTTATAAGTTGAAAGTGTTAGTTGAGTCTGCTCGACTCCAACACTGGTCCTGTCTTTACTTGGTCAGTACTAAGTTAGGCATCACTATACAGTGCTATCAGAGAGTTATGTAAAACTATTTCTGGCTTGACACAAGTGGGTAGCTCTGCATCTTTGATGTGGAAGAGCTTTTTATGTTGGATGCCCTTTCAGACAACCCCAAAAGGCCATGTGTATCTCCAGCTGGAATCAAACCAGCAACCTTTCAATTGCCAATCCAATGTGTTAACAACTACACAATCAGTGGTGCACTATCAAGTAAAAACAATAAATACATTTTCATAAATTACATTTCATAAATACATTTCTTCCTGACATTGCTGGTTAGTCAGTGTGTCTTGGAGTCTGACTACCATGACTGTGAGTCAGATGCATAATGGACAAATACAAAATGTGTAAGATAAACATACCTCATCACACATTAATAAGCTGAGAACCACAGTAAGAAAGCCAGTAAGCAGCCTTCTTTCTCAGCCAGATGTCATGAACATATTTCATGAAAGCTGGATGAAGGATCGTCACCTGTTATGAATCAGACGAATCGTTAAATCCTAGTTTTATTATTAAAACTTCTCTTATCTTTTTGAAGTGAACGCACAATAAAATACTTTAAATCAGCACCACAGTGGCTAAAGGAAGCCACTATCTATTTTTGGTCGCATGGCTTTGTTCACGACCTTCCAAGCGCATAACTGTCAAGTGTGAGCGACTGGGAAAAACCATAACAATACCCGACAACGCCCAAAGTAAAAGTTTAGGTGCAGGTGGCTTGTGAAACGGCTTGCACATTTGTAGCAACGGTGGTTCGGCTAAAGCAGGTTAATAGTAAAACCAACTGTATATGAGATTTGCCAGTTCAATGAGTAAAATCAGCTGACTTTGTGGCCTGCCTGAATTAATGGTAGCTTAAAGTTATTACTGGATTTCTTTGATATCAATATCCCTGATTGTTAAGGTAAAACTAAAATACTCCTTGTTAGCTTTCTTTTTTGAGTTGGGAATACAATAACGTTAATTCAAAGCACAGCGTTATTTGCTGAATGGTAGTGATGGCCCGCTTGTATGGGGTTACAACGATGCAACCTTAAAACTAAACTGAAACAAATATTGAAACTGAAAAATAAAGTCCCACCGATCGTCGCACAAGCTGCTCCATCTGGCGATCAGGCAGCTGGTCCTTCTCTCTCATGCCTGGCTTCTACGTGCTCCTTCCTGGAGTCTGGGCCTCGCGCCATATGGGTGCTGAGCCAGATTTTTTAACAAGTCCTTTCAACAGGTGACTGCTATTACTCATTGTCTAACCAGTCCACAAACTGGGAGGGATTTGCTTGTCATGTCAGTAATGTTGGAAACTTTATTCCACCTTTCACTATCCCAAGCTCTCTTGCAAAGTCCAAACAGTCGGTTTTGTGCCGTCTAGGATTGTCCAGTGTCATGACAGACAGCCAATTGGATCCTCTGCCTCAGTGCTAGTGTAATTGGGGTCTTCCACTTGACTTTTTTGTTCCATAACCCCCGGGATCATTTAAAAAATTCCAAATGACTGTCTTATGGCGTCCCTGTATAAGGGCATGATCCATGGGGACGCTGCAGGGACACGCTGGAGCTGCATCAGTAATTGTGCCTCGCCTGCTTAAGAAGAATTAACTGGGTTCTGAATTGTCGTTGTTGTTGTTATGTCCAGGACGCCGCTGAAAATCTGCGTCCATTGGTGTCTGTGAAGATGACAACCGGGAATACAGGAAAATGTGGTCGGGTCCATCATGCATAGTCGACAGTGGTGCTGAAACTCAGGATTGGGGCATGGCGGAAACACGAGTGAGCCAGCAAGAGGAGGCGCTGGCCCAAACGGTAGCCAAGCTCGCGAACATTTGCTACCACAGTTTAAGCATTGCTTTCAATAAATTGCATTCTCAAAAAAGTGTTTTGTCCCTCTCCCATTTCTTCTTGTTGCATGTTGAAGCTCTACTTGGAACCTTGTTAAGATCCAACCATGCAAAATATGATTTATTTATTTATTTTCACCATTTTTCAAGTAGTCTTACACTTTTGATCTGGACTGTATCAAAGTACTTCAGCTTCCTACCATCGCCACACCATGTTTTCTGCAGATATTTATACATGCAAAGGTTGGACATAGACACCATGACATAATCCATTCATTATTATAAATCTGATTGTGAAGTGTTGTAGAACATCTCCAAACCTTCTGTTCTGATGGAAGCATCCAGTATGAGTGTAGAATATATTCAATAACTTTTTAGCAACAAACATATATACATAGTTTCTTGATAATGAACAAGTTACAGGAGTTTAATGTGAATGGCATGAATTCATGATTGATACTAAATGGCACTGTACCCATTCATGTCTAATCAGGTAATGGAGTGAAAAGTGACAAACTGAAAGCAGCATTGCATTTTGTATTCATTTTATTTTGGAGACAAAATGTAGACATGCTACATAGAAGAAATATTCACCAGCAATTTTTTTCAAGTCCAAGTCAAGTCTCAAGAGTCTAATGGATGAAACTGATATTCTATTGACCAATTAGTCTCTCTAACACTTGTAAAATGTTATGAATTATCTTATATGACCTTTGCTTTATTGATGTACAACAGCATTTAAAATGATAAGTGCATACTCACTCAGGGTTGTTGCAATAAACAGAATTTGGGGTCTAATCCTACCTGCCTCACACAGCAATTCATGACAAGGTCTCAAGACTCGAATCCCAAAACTTTGGTTTGGTTTTTGTTTTGGTCAGGTCTAACTTGCGATTGCAAGTCGCCATCTCTGCTACATAGTGCTTAATAATTGTCATAGATTAACACAGAGGTTCCCAAAGTGTGGGGCCTAGATGTTAGCTCTTTATACAGTAAAGTTACAGTGGGATACAAATAATATCAGTCTGAACCACAATTTGTTCCCCCAGTTCAAATCACGGACAAACAGTATCCCACAGCTGTTTATGTTCTTGAACCCATTTTGCACAGAGAGGCATTTTTTAAAAAATGTATTGATGGCAATGCTGAATATTATTACACAGGAAAAAAAAAACTACACGTGAAATAATTACACCATGACGCCTTTCTAAATGGAGTTACTGTCCCTCCATTTAGAAAGGGTGTGTGTAAGCATATAAAAACTCAACATAGTTAGATTAACAGTAACAGTATTTTGTCTATATCTGCCAATAAAAGTTTGGGAACCACTGGATTATCTCTTGAGGTCTGAGTCTTCATTACTAACAATCCCAAACCGTGCATGTCAGTTTCAGTAATTGTGTTTTTTGCTGTTTGGTTTTGCTGGTCACAGATTTTTTTTTTAGAACTAAATTTATTTATTCTTACGGAGTTATGGTTATCACTGACGATGACTTGAAAATGATGAGGAGACGAATGAAAAAGTAAAGGAAATTACCATCCTTTAAAAAAAACTATTTTCTTCTTCATGTGTAATTTAACAATCATTTTATATTCTTCTTCTCCTGGGTGGCCTCCTGTTTTTAACCGTTTGTTTTTAAGGATTTCAAAGTAATGGCTCCAGTTTCCCTCGCTGTCTGCTCCAAACCCAAAGACATTAACCTAAAGAAACAAAGTTTTTACAGTCATTAAGTCTTTAGTATTGAACTTAAATAAATGTTGCCACAAATTGCACAGGAATTATGAAAACCTCAGTCATGGAAAAAAAACTTTCCAGAGTTTTTTTTTATTCCTCTTTAGGCATAAAAACCCCCCAATGTAATTGAAATTTTCTTTATGAACCATTTTTTTCATGGAGTTACAATTCAAAGAAACATGTAAATATACTGTATATATGTCAAAGCACTGACAAAAATGTTGAACCTAGTTCTGGAACACTAAACTATTATTTTCTACAATTGAAAAAAACAAAAACAAAACAAAGGCATAATGGAGGCATGGGGCACACGACACAGGAGCTCTAGTTTTCCACTACAACTTTATTCACCTCCACACATCAACTCAGGATATCGCACCCAAACACAACAGAACATCTCCTCCAAGCTTGGGTGGAAGTGAAGCCCTCTAGTGGGTCACCACACATGCCCCACCCCCCACCCCTGCCCTCGCAAAAACCCAAAGAAAATGTCCACTAGTCCAGGACCCAGGGCTTAAACAGTCCAGAACGGCTGAGATGGGGAGTCAGAGAACTGGCTGTGGGCTCACCGGGCCGGGAAAGACAGGCTGAACCTTCCATTGGCTGGACGAGCACCGGGGGTGCGGAGCAATCTCCGAGGAAGGGTCAGAGTCCAACTGTCCGTCAGCAACCCTGGGGCCCGGGCCGGCATCAGTGGAGCTTCCTGTAGAACATGAAGTCCCCCGAATTCCAATAAAAAATGCTTGGGACTGTTTCAATAACCCAAAACGGGCCGTCATAAAACGGACGTAAGTGGGGCTGATGGGCATCATGCCAAACAAAAACGAAACTAGAAGAGCCCAGCAACAGCGGAACAAAAATGTCTGGTAGAGAGTGGTGCGCGGGGCCAGGCACAGAAAAGGTGCACGATGCACAGCAACCATGGATGACTGTCCCACACTGGCGTGTCTTCCAGCACGAGGCCCGTCTGCGAGGACCGAAGGGCAAGGACGGCCGGGTCGGTGCACTGCTCCGCAGCCATGGCAGCGTAGTCGTCACCGACTGTCTGTCCCGCCAGCGACCAGGTTGGACTTGCCAGCCACGTGCTGAATGTCCGTAGTAAACTCCGATATGGCCGCCAACTGACACTGCTGGCACGTGCTCCAAGGATCAGAAACCTTGGACATGGTGAAGGTCAGAGGCTTATGGTCAATGTACGTGGTAAAACTGGGACCCTTGCGGAAAAATCGAAAATGTTGTGTTGTGAGATGGAGAGCCAACAACTTTCTGTACGTAACACTGTACTTACGCTCAGCATCTCGGAGCGTGTGACTGAAAAAGGCAAGGGGCTGCCAGACGCCGGAGACCCGCTGTTCCAACACGGCGCCCAACGCTACATCCAACGGGTTGATGGCCAATGCGATCTCCGCTGATCGGGACAGGTGTGCCAGCAGAGCAGCATTGGCCAGTGCTGACTTCCCCACAGAAAACACACAGATGCGGTCTGGAGACCAGTCAACAGGGTCTTTAGACGTTTTACCTTTTAAAACAGCGTAGAGCGGTTGTAACAGGTGAGCGACCCGGGGAACGAAACGATTATAAAAATTGACAATACCCAGGAACTCCTGCAACACCTTAACTGAGGTGGGACGCGGAACAGCTGTGACAGCCTGAACCTTGTCTGACAATGGGACCACACTGTCAGCGGAGATGCGGTGCCCCAGGAAATCCAGGACCGGCAAACCAAACTGGCACTTGGACGGGTTGATGATCAGGCCATGTTCCACCAAATGCTGAAAAACCTGGTGCTGGCCCACCGACCTGCTGGCCACCAATATATCATCCAGGTAGACGAAAACGAAAGGCAGCCCCACAAAACAGAGTCAATCAGGCATGGAAACGTCTGAGCGGCACCTTTCAACCCAAATGGCATGCGCAGGAACTCCAACAAGCCAAAGGGAGTGATGATTGCGGTTTTAGGAACATCCTCAGCGCGTACCAGCACTTGGTATTACTGACCCCTGCACCAAATCGATTTTGGAAAAAATCGAGGTCCCAGCGAGATGGGTGGAAAAATCCTGGATGTGGGGAATCGGGTAACGTTCGTTCTCCGTAACGTTATTTAAATGTCGAAAATCCCGGCACGGTCACTACCGCCTGTCCGACTTGGGCACCATGTGAATGGGAGAGGCCCAGGCACTGTTCGAATGCTGCACAATGCACAGGCACTCCATGGCCGCAAACTCCTCCCGGGCAACAGACAGCTTCGCAGGATCGAGGCAATGCATGTGCAAAAACACCGGAACCAACCATGGGATATGGGAATGCTCAACCCCTTGTTTCGCTGCAGAAATTAGGAGTTAACAGTGACGGAAACACAGCAAACGCTGAAACACGTCCCCAGGGGCTACCAAATTGGCCAAGATGAGGGGGTTAGCGGCCCGGATAAAACAGGGCAGCGAAAAGAATGACAGAGCGTTAATCAAACGTCTGTGAGTAAAATCGACTAACAGCCCGTGAGCAAGAAAATCAGCGCCTAAGATAGGCACTGAGCTGGCATCAACAACAAAGTTCCACTGGAATTCCCGACCGTGGAAACTAGCAGTCACTAACCTTTCCCCATAAGTTGCAATAGGAGAACCATCAGCTGCGGTCCATGTCCTTACTTGCGATTGATTTAAGTTGTTACCATGCCTAGATATTGCTTTACTCATCCAGACAGTTTCTGTTACTTGTCTGGTTTATTCACGATGAAAGCACAATGTCACCCAATTACAACAGACCTTAAGAAGATATGCAAATTGTACTCTGACTGTCCACTGGGTGACCAGGATAAATTTGGGCTCCACATGTTATCTACAACAGTTGTTCCAATGGACTGTGTTACTAGCTAAATCTGTGGCAGCAATGGCATTTGCAATCCTGATGGTGTGGTGGGAACCGCAAGATCATCTCAACGGTGGCTATTTTTGTCACGTGAATACAACAGGATTCTCAGCCAAAAATAAGCACAAAACTTTATATCCCAGTCTGGATTCTAAAATAAGGCCTGTTTCTCATGATAACTAATTGCCTGTTCTTGTACTGTCACATGATGCATTAGATTCTGTAGAACATTACGAGGAACACAGTCACGGTGCATCTGGTTACAATCCAGAGTCATCAGATCTTTATTACGTGCCTGATGACTATTTAGAACCAGAGACTTTTGCACAAGCAGAGCTGTACAATATCGTTCATGATCTAAATCTGTCAAAAGACATAGGAGAACTTCTTGCCTTTGAGGCTTAAGCTGAAGCATTTGCTTGCCAAGGATGTTACTGTAAAGAGGTCAAAGTCATAACTTGACAGCATTCTTCACTGCTGATGACTCACTGTGGTATTGTCATGACGTCAACGGACTCTTCAGCAGTTTGTCACAAGAGCATGTTCCAAGACACAAGAGCTGAATGTCATCTCTGCAATGATTCTTCACAAAAAAGCTTGAAGGCAGTCCTACTCCATAATGGAAATGCCAGACCAAGTGTGCCGATTGCCCATTCGGTTCATCTAAAGGAGTCCTATGACAACATGAAGACACTGCTTGAGTCAGTTGCATATAAAACTCACCAGTAGTGATCTGTAGGTGACTGGTATGTTGATGGGAATGCAAGCTTTTGGGAAGGCAAATCACCAAATACTGCCGTTTCCTGGGCCTGTGGGCAGTCAATCTACTGTGTCAAGCGTAACTGGCAGCCACTAGATGCCTATGTCAAGTTTCTGCCTCTGGTTGAACTGCATAAAATATTTTTGCCACCTCTCTATATCAAGAAGCTTAATGAAGAATCTTGTCAAAGCCACGGGCAAAGTGAACTCACTACATTTTCAGTACTTTGCTGAAAAGTTTCCAAACATAAGTGCTGCGAAATTGAAGCAAGGGATATTTGTAAGTGCGCAGATCAAGTCAGTTTTGCAGAATGAATGCTTCAAAAAAACTCTCAACAGCAGAGTTTGAAGCTTGGGAGGCATTCAAGTGGCTCTGCGAAAACTTTGCGGGCATCCACAAGTCTGCTACATACAAGGAAGGAGTTCAGCATCTGCTTGATTCCTACCAGAAACTGGGCTGTCGCATGTGAATGAAAATACACTTCCTACACTCACACTTCTGAATCCTTTCCAGAAAAAGCGCCTCGAGGCATAGCTGGACTAGCCATTGGGCATACCGGGCATTTGCCCGGTGGGCCGATGGTGATTTTTCGTTTTTATTGGCCGATGATTTTTTTTTTTTTTAACGGTATAAACAATGAATGGTGGTGGATTGGCCAGATGCTGGCCGATGTGTAAAAATAACTCAGTTGTTTGGTGGTGGCTATGGTGGAGTTTCCACAGAGGCCAGCAGGTGGATGAGGGTCCAAGTGTCAAGTTATGACCTGCAGTCTATCTGGGTCAGATATAAACCAAGTTTAGGTGTAGTTTATTTTCGGTTTGCTGACTTTTTAAATTTAGTTACAATAACTGGTACTGCGTACTAGCTAGCATGACGGAGTTTCTATGCTGCTGGGCTGATAGTGAAGTTTATTTTGTTCATAAGTTTAGTTAGTAGAGTTGCCAACCGTCCCGTAAAAAACTGAATGGTCTCGTATTCAGAGAAAACGTTTCGCATTGAGCTGAAAAGGAACGCAGTTTGTCCCGGATTTCAGCTAGAATGGAAAAAGACACAAAGCTGGAGTTACTCTGTCTTTATGCTGTAAGCTGCTCTCATTCTCTCTCCCTCCCTTTCCTGTAGCTACTTTAATCATGAAACTGACCAATGATCAGCTGATCGGCTTTTCTCTCTTGTTTGTTTATCTCCCACTTTGCGCCAGAAAGAAGAAACCAGCGATGTCGCGCTATAAACAACAGCATGATCAGCTGTTGTTAGAATTTATTTAATATTTCTTAGTATCAGCTGATGTTTGCTGGAGTCACAGCCGTAAAAGCAGCTGGTCATGATATCGGTTTGGATATGTGGTGAGAGGGAAACATGAAGATGAAACCAGGAGAGATCCCTGCTGAATCATCAGACCTGAACAGGTGACGGAGAAACAGGTTAATCTTTAAGGTGGCATGAATGAGTTGATGGGAAGTTATGAACTGTTTCTGAGAGACAAATAACACCAGGATCCTTTTCTAAGTAGCTGACAGCTAGTAACTGTGCCGGGGTGGGTCCAGCAAAGTTTTGCCAGGGGGGCAGGTAGGGCATTAAGAGGGAAATGGGGGAGGGGGGCACAAAGAAATACTTTTCTTTTGTATTCTCATTTAAAATGTCAAGCTTTTATTAAATAATTATCTGAATCTTACAACCAAAGTTTTTATCTGATGTAAAATGTATAGAAATCATACATATACCAACAGGACAGTGTATATCACTGTCACAACAGTGTTTGTTTTCATTCAAAGGCTTTATGGCTTTAATACCTGGTGGGCCGGTACAGTACAGTGGTAGCTGACTGACACTGGTCATTATATCTATGACACAGTGTTTGCCTATCTGACTTCGCACTGAAAATTTACTTGATTGGTGCCCGCCGTTTAATAAAAAAATGCATTCAAGTCTATTGCAAATGAATATTACTAATAATTCAAAAAGTTCATGTGACTGAAGTCAGCATGAAAAACTGGTTTAGAAAAGTGTTTTGTGCTTTCTGATGATTACAAAAAAAATTTTGTTGACCTATGTCTTTTGTCTGACATAAAGAAGAGGAAGGTTACAAATGTTCTTTAACCCCTCTGATTTGCTATCATCCTCTCACATCATAACACCCCTTATCTCCACTTCCAATCTATGTTGCATTAACAACAGAGATGTGCAGTATCGCATTCCGGATACTTTTTTCAAGTAATGAATAACGTAAGGGATTACTATTACAAAAATGTAATTAAATTACTGTTACTTTCCTGTAAGCACGCTGTGTTATTGCGTTACTAAACTGTCATGATTTTGTTTGTGAAAGTGTCTCATGACAATGCCGTAAGCATGTGCGACACCCGTGGCAGCAATAGACATGTGTAGATCAACAATAGATCATAAGGAGTGTGGGAGAGACTATGACCTTGCAGCGTTTAAAGTGTGGACATACTTGCATTACTTTAAGTTTTATTCTGTAAAAAGTGACAAAAACATTAGTGTCCGCTGTACACTCTGTGTGGGAAGAAAACTTCTTTCTTCAGCGAAAGATTAAACCTCGAATCTGAGCAAGCACCTAGCACGCTGCCACAGGAATGTTAAATTCACAGAGAAACCCCCGGATCCTCCCACTGACATGACCGCTGCGGCACCTGGCAAACCTCCACCCGCCACACTCCTGCTAAACAGGTGACAATAAATTTAAGAGCGACAGGACTCAGTGCTGCTGAATCTTTGATTTTATTTATTTTTTGCTGTGTTTTACTTGCATTCCTTGCAGTCAAATTTAAGTTTTATTTTTTCTAGCAAGCCCTAAATTAATCAGGCAAAAGCTAGATGCAACATTTTTGCACTGCTTTGAAAAGTATTAGAATACTGTATGTTAAAATATTATATAAATGATAACTCATTTTTTACTGTTAAATACATATTTCTTAGGTTAACCAGCTGAGTGAACATGTTTGTAACTCCATGAAAAATTACCTGACATCCACAGCTCCTTTAACATCCCGAGATCCACTGACGAAACTGTTAGTATTAAATAATCCCCATCCTCCTTTTTGTTTTATCACTGCCACTGGCATCATCTCTAATCGACTCAGATTGTAAATGCACCAGTATACTGTTGACAGTATTTCTATCACAAGTTGAACTTGAACTTTACAAAATATAGCGATATTAATACATATGACGGCATGCTTTGCTGGCACATCAGAATATATTATTTCGTGAAAGTTACAGCTTCATAGCAGTTACAGCAGTATAGAAACAGTATTTCTATAAGTTGGCAATATGAATACATATTTACAATAGCATTCTTCATTAAAGCTGCATCAACCTTCCACTTAAGGAGCTTCAAGATTACCATTTTTCATGCTTGAAATATATTCAGAAGTGCTTTCTCTTGCAAGTGTACTCCATAAACTACAGCTTCTTAATCAGTTTTTCTTCGAGTATGTCTATAATGTAGAAGTAGATTGTGTAAGGTGAACATACCTCATCACACATTAATAAGCTGAGAACCACAGCAAGGAAGCCAGTGGATGGATAAGCAGCCTTCTTTCTCAGCCAGACATCATGAACATATTTCATGAAAGCTGGATGAAGGATCGACACCTGTTATGAATCAGACAAATCTTTAAATCTGAGTTTTATTAATTGTTCTTTTATGAAGTATATGCACAATATACTAATATACAAAATACTTTAAATAAGCACCACTGTGGCTAAAAGAAGCCACTATTAGTGGCATGGCTTTGTTCAGTGACATGCATGACCTTCCGAGCACATAATTGTCAAGTATGAGCAACTGTGGAAAACAATAACATACCGGATGCAGAACAGAGTAAACAACAAATACTGCAACAAAGTAAAGGCTGAGGGGTGGGGAGAGCCATTGTGAGGGGGGGGGGGCATTACTGGAAAATGTGATGAAGCATATCTTGCCTTAGGCTTCACCTACTCCAAAGGCATTGGGAGCACCCGCTGGGCTGTCCAAATCGGCGACAAACAGTATCCAACATTCTTGATTTTTAGTGGGAGCATACATAATTCTTATTTTAAAAAATTACATTTATTCCAAATGACGACTTTGATGTCGGGATTGGTTTGTGAGAGCGTCTGACGCCTCTGTCTTTCTAAATGGGGGACAGTGACTGCGTGTGTCTATGTAAGCATGCATGCCTGAATTAATGGTAGCATAAAGTTATTATTGGACTTCCTGGGCATCAACATTTGCCAGTTTTGTTAAGGTAAACCTAAAATACTCACCAAATCTTTGTTAGTTATCTTGTTAGAGTTTGGAGCACCGTTTTCCCTGTTGAAAAGAAAATATATTGTTGAATTTGTTAAAGAAATTATTGTTTAACAAACAAATGCTAATAATTACCTAAGACTTAAGAATCACAATAAGATGTTCAGTTGTTCATAAAACAATTTATTTAACTTTTTTCCATGTAAAAAAAAAAAGAGTTGCTGCTAGCTATGTGAAAAACCAGAATATATCATAGGAATATATTTTAATATCAAACAGCTCTTGGGGAGTGGGGTGTCTCAAAATTGTGTTTTAATATTTCCTGTTTATTAGCCCACTAAAAAATGTGCAAATTGTTAAAGAAAGTGGATATGCAGCTAAAAGTAATAGTATTACTGCTTCAGCTGTAAGTTAAATTACTCCCAATGGTCCCAACGGCAACTAGAGAGCAGATTTAATGGGGAGATGCAGTGCCTGTTTTAGGGAAACATGGTTTGAAGCTAGGCAGCACGGTGGCACGGTGGTTAGCACCGTTGCCGCACAGCAAGAAGGTCCTGAGTTCAATTCCAACACCAGACCGGGATCTTTCTGTGTGGAGTTTGCATGTTCTCTGGAGAGTTTGCGTGGGTTCCCTCCGGGTACTCCGGCTTCCTCCCACCGTCCAAAGACATGCAGCTTGTGGGGATAGGTTAATTGGATAATCCAATAGGTGTGAATGTTCGAATGAATGTGAGTGCGAATGGTTGTCTGTCCCTGTGTGTTAGCCCTGCGACAGACTGGCGACCTGTCCAGGGTGTACCCTGCCTCTCGCCCTATGACAGCTGGGATAGGCTCCAGCGCCCCCCGCGACCCTGAAAAGGATAAGCGAATGGATGGATGGATGGATGGATGGTTTGAAGCTAACATTCTGTCAAAGGCTTGACCACACATACAATGGGACAATGCAAGATGTTCAATTCATGACCCTTAGGAAATCAAGGCATTTTTGTATGCAGAAAAATGAAGTAGATTGTGAGAAAATGAATCAAAGATGAGCCTGGTAGAAGAATTGATGAAGAACACGTTTGTGTTTTCACTCTTTTTTTCTTATCTTTTTTTCTTTTTTTGCCTGTCCCGTTTGGCTCTTTTGCCATCAGGATTGTTGTCTAAAGGCGAGGAAAGATGCCCAACGGATTTACTTTATCAAATTGACCATCCCAGCCTTGCCGTAATGGTCTATTTGATTCACCTTTTATTGTTTATGGTAAATGGCCTGTATTTATATAGCGCTTTACTAGTCCCTAAGGACCGCAAAGCGCTTTACATATCCAGTCATCCACCCATTCACACACACATTCACACACTGGTGATGGCAAGCTACATTGTAGCCACAGCCACCCTAGGGCTCACTGACAGAGGCGAGGCTGCCGGACACTGGCGCCACCGTGCCCTCTGACCACCACCAGTAGGCAACGGGTGAAGTGTCTTGCCCAAGGACACAACGACCGAGACTGTCCAAGCCGGGGCTCGAACCGGCAACCTTCCGATTACAAGGCGACCTCCCAACTCTTGAGCCACGATCGCCCAGTTTATTTTATTTATTTTTTTATTTTCACTTGCTAGATACGGGACAGACTTGAATGAGGAAAAGAAAAGGGAGAAAGGAAGAGGGAGAAAAAGCAGCGGAGAAGAGGGACGGGGATAAAGGGCAAAAAAACAAAAACCAACTAAATAAGCAGACAAAAAAATACATATATCAATCACCCGGATCACTTGTTGAGAAAGAAAAAAGAAAACAAGCAGAAGAAAACGAGAGCAATACAATAAACAACATCACGATGATATATGGGAATATAACAGTAAATACTAAATATTAAACATTATTGTGCAGCACATAATATCGACAGCGCACAGTGTGCTTTGAGGTAAGAGCCAAAAAGGGTGTAGTTTGTGTGTGTGAGCACCCGTGTGTACACCTGTGAGCATGGACGCGCTTGTTTTTAAAAGGTTCCTTCATGTAATGATCTGCTAGAGGGTGTGGGTGTTTCCACTCTTTAAAGCAAGTTTCCCCATGAAACAGTTGTGGGAACACCCCAGGAAAGACACAGAACCACATATAGTTTCTTTTTTGGGGGTTCAGTTACCCATACATTAGGCTGGGATATGAGATATAGGCCTGATATTGATATCTCCTAATAGCTGCAGCATTGCTCATAAACTTGAGTCATCTGTGTTGGAGTAAACAAAGGATTTGTGTAGGAGATTATTTCACTGTGTCCAGTGTGTTTACCACCTTCAAATGCCTTCGCCAGTGTACATTTGTTTTCAAGCCTACAAATTACAGTGGCACTATGATCTGGATCCACTGACACCGTAAAATCCCCACCAGGGCAATATTGTTGTTTAAAGCACTTAAAAGTCTGATCATCAGCATTAGGTGGATAGATACTACCCCAAATAATCTTTTTCCCCTTTATGTCAGCTAACAAAACAATGACATTTTTTTAACATTTAGTTAAGTTATTTGAAGCATTTAGGATTTATAACATTCTATACATTTTACAGCTAAATGTATGGTGGCCCTGAGAGCCCAAACGGACTGGAACTTAAGGAAACACAAGCAATAAAAACACTGCAAAAGCATACAGAACACAACGGAAATAGGAAAAACAAAACAGAAATAGGAAAAAAGAAATCACAAATGGGAAAAACAAAAACAGAAATAGGAAAAAACATGATTCATATAATACTTATGATGGATTTTTAGGCTAATAGTTAGGGTAACACACTTGCCTTTCATCTTTTCTTTCCTCACAAAACCGATAGATCCTCCACTTCTTTTAAGTATCTCCCAGTGCAATACTTAGCATATTTTGGTTATTGCAAATTGTCTCCCCAGAAACACTTCCCTGGTGCTTTTGGAAATCTGTTTTTTCCTATTTCTTTTTTTGTTTTTTCTATTTCCGTTGTGTTTTGTTTGCTTTTGCAGCGTTTTTCTCATTGCTGGTGTTTTCTTAAGTTGCAGTCCGTTTGGCCTGTTGGGACCACTGTGTAAATGAGTTTAAGGGCCAGGAAAGAAAATTAAAATATATAATTTCAATGCCAAACAAAATATACACCATTGATCTGAACCCTTTAAGGTTTAACTAAATTTTGAACCTTGTTTAATTTGCTTGTTCAAACAGACGAACCTGGTTTGCACCTTTACTTATAGTTAGCTAAGACTGTGTTGCAAAGATATTAAAATCTGAAATTTCATAATGCCATTCCAGTACAGTAGCAGTACAGTTTCTAGCAACATAAGTTTTAAAAGAAATTGAAATATAATTAAAGTGAAGACAGAAGCCATGTTTGGCCTACCCTGGAATTAATGACTTCAGAAGCCACAAAAAGTCAGGTGTTTTGAATGGAAAAAACAAAAGATGAGTTTTGTTGTCCAATCTAGTAGAACTTTCTGGATACATGACACGATGAGTTGTTTTAGTTCCAACATCTCTTTCAAAACCTTTGGTCATCCCACGGTTGACTCTAAATAGTACAGAAGGATATATAAGTTTACATATTTAGCATTTTAGACACATTGTAATTTACATCACATTATATGCATAACAAAACATAACAAAACTTAGATTTTTTTGTGACATGAATCTAGGCTTTTCAGGTTTTGTCAGTGAACAGTGCTGTTGAAATTAGCTTTTGTGTTTTGTTTTTGTGTAATGATGGTTATAATGTGTGGGGATTATATCATTTTATATCATGTTGATTCCTTTCTATCTTTTTATTAAGCTTTGAGCAATGGCATTTGATTAAACATTTATTCCATTTATTAAACATACAGTTTCAATCATGTTATTAACACACATTTCATTTGTGCTCATGATAGAGTTAAGTATACAGTCTAATGAAGGTTAAAAATGTCGTTCAGCGTTATGTCTGAACTGATATATTGATGAAATGACTTGAATGCTGTGAATGAATGCCTAACATGCTTACATACACATAGACATGAAGTATAATTTCTAGGGTAAAAGTGAAAGACATCTTGCTTTGTCTCTGCTTGGCAACTAGTGATCCGAGGTCTACAGGAAGCATCTGGAGGAGCTGGACAACCATATAGGGAAAAATGCTGTTAAATACGGAAACTTAATGATAACCTATACATGTGATGTTTTGTCTAACGCGAGAAGGGGTGTTTACCCTGACATAATAAAACCATGCTGAAGTATGTTTTGACGGGAGATCTGGGTTGACAATATCGAGCTGTGTATCTTTCCACACATGTGTTTAATAAAATCATTGTTTTGACGCACTTGGACCAGTAGTCGTTTGTCTCACACCTCAATCACGAATCGGGACAAATGCCATTAAATTATTATTACCTTAACACAATATCATGGAAATCAATCAGGGGTCCATACTGGGATCCTCTCAAATTTCCAGAATTCCCCACCACTGCACATCTCCTGCAGCGATCAGGGCGAGGTTCTTCAACATCTGCAATGGGTGTTATTGTCTGAAACACATGTTCTAGTGTTTTATTGTAGACAGTGAAGTTTTGTTTTTCCCCCTGTAAGGGCTGAGAAAAAAGAATAAAGTTTTGCAACCTCAGATCACATCTCTTGTTCAAAACACATTTCGTCTTTAACATTATCCCTGCTAATGACAAAATATCTGCATTGTCTTGGAGCAACTGTGCGCAATAGTGTAATTCCCTTAGGGATTAATATTGTTCTGATTCTAAGTATTCCAATCATACAATATACGTACTTTCTGACTTTTGTCACTGTCAAAGTAAAATTGTTTTTATATAATGTGATCAGCTCCATGAAATGTATTCTTTTATTGATCACTAAGCAAATGTCTACATGACTTTTGACATGTACTTTTTCTGTGATAAACAACTAATGCTTCCTCTTTCTGTAAGAACATACAGATTTAGAAAAAGGGGAACCTCAGCTCAGAGTTCTTAGAATAAGAAGCTATTTGTTCACACACACACACAGACATACAGACAAATAACCCTAATTTCCTTCGGGATTAATAAAGTATTCTGATTCTGATTCTGATTCTGAAGTATAAATAAAGAACGCAGACAGTGATGAGACGCAGGTCGCAGGTTTTGCGTTCATGACTGCCCTCACGAGTAAAGACAACTGCAGTGTTTGTGTTTTCTAACTCAGGTGTCTTAGCTGAAGAACTACGGGGTGATTTTTAGAAATCCCCTGTCAGTCACAGAAACACAATATTCTAAAAATCATGAAATCAATTCAGTTTGATTCAATTTCAGTTATTTGATAGATAGCACCAGCATCTATTTCTAAGTGTCTTCAAGGATCAAACGTATTCACATTTGTGTTATTAATTATTGAGATATGTCTGTGAAGGTTCTCAATCATCCAGGTCATTGTAGTCTAAGGAGCTTGGGGGAAAAGCGTCTTCGATTTCTTTGAGTTGCTTGAAAACATTTCACTTCTTATCCGAGAAGCTTCTTCATTTCTAGGGTTAAATGGTGGAGAGTCCCAGATTTAAGACCCGTGGGAGTGTCCCCCAAGAGGGACATGGAACCCCCTACTGATCCTCTACCTAATCACATGAGCCAAGGTGTGAAAACGGGTGTAGGTCACAATCAGCCAAGGTTTCGGGTAGCTCATTGTGAAACCTAACCCCACCCTATCATGTGATTTCCTGGGTGGGCGTTAAGGTGTCTGGGAAGGGATCTCAAAACTGGATTATAGATGGTAGACAGTTGGTGTCGTGAGCCACCGCCTCTGTTCAAAGATGGTCGCTCATAGTAGACATAGTTTTCCTGTGTGGTTTTCCCGAGTCTCCCTGCATCTCCCCTTTAAATGGCCTGTATTTGTATAGCGCTTTACTAGTCCCTAAGGACCCCAAAGCACTTTACACATCCAGTCATCCACCCATTCACACACACATTCACACACTTTAGGTACCACCTTTAGGTCTGTTGTTATTAGTTGTCTCCAGTTTAGGTTATCCTCAGGTTCTGTTTCATACCCACTGTATTTATGTTTATTTCACTTCCCTAATGAAACTCCCTTGCATCTGAAAGCTGTCTGCATCTTGGGTCCTTCATTAAAATCCACATGGCTTGCCCCATGAGCCATGACAGTAGGAACCAGCCACTGTGGACCCCGCTGCATTTAATCCATCCGAGGAGCTCCAGAGGGACGTCACCTACTCCGTGGAGCGGCTAATCAATCTGTCCCCGCAGCATAAGGGGAAAGCTATAGCTAATCGGCTACAGCGATTAGTTCCCGGTCTCCCCTGATTGCTCAGCTCACTTAATCCGCTCGCACAGGATTTTATTCTGAACGAGCTTCACCTTCGCTCCCCGGGCACTACCACTCACCCAGCCATTACCGCTTCGCTGCTCGGCCCGTCGGTCCAGCCTTCAAATGGGAAGTGGTGCTCACGCCGTTGTTGCCCCTCACCACAGTCCGACCCCGGGATTTTAGAGCAGCCGGCTTTGGTGAGTAAAAAGGACAATTTTTCTGTTTCAGACTTTGGACTATTTATTCGGGGGCTGTGTTTTGTGTGACAGGGAACAATAATAACTGTGGATTTCCTGGTTTCCCTGCGGCTGAGATTACTGAGACTGCCTTTTGGGGGCTACATTAAATTCTAATGACTGTTTTTGCTCTGTTTCCTTTGAGCCTGGAGCTATACTAACTAGCACTGCTAATTAGGGATGGGTATCATTTACGTTTTAGGTTTTATACCAGTACAAAAACGGGACTTTTGAAATGGTGCCGGTGCTTAAACGGTGCTCGAACCGGTGCTTAAAGAATGAAGAACACAAACTTTGTCCAAAAACCTCTCATGTTTTGCTGTTTTTTTGTAAAAAGACAACAATGTTAACCTTTTCTGCAGCTATAGGGGATTTATGGTATCACTCTTGGCTGGAAGCAGTGCTTAATCAATGGGGGGGAAAAAACACCAACTTTGTCTAAAAACCTCTCATGTTTAGCTGTTTTCTACTTTTCTTTGGTCATTTTAGCTTTTTTGGCCAGGGTGAAGGGAGTATCTGCCTTCAAACAACTACGACGGTGTAGTTCACCTTACGTGCATTAATTTAATAACATGGTTAGCCTACTCAACGTAAATTACACACGAACAACATTAAGCTACTGACCCAGAGAAGAACGGCTGCTGCTGCCATCATAATCCGTCATCATTTCTGTTACACTGGCAGGGCTACAGGCCAGGACTCACCTCTTCGGGTTTTTTGGGGATGTTGCTAACTCCGGGACTGATAACAGGCACTTCACGCGCAGTAGATGTGCTCGGTGTGAGGTCTCGCAGCAAGCTATCAAATAGGGTGCATTTGTCTGATTTTAAAAAAACGCTATGCGTCGCCAGGTGTTTCATCAGATTCGAGGTGTTACCTCCTTTGCACAGTATCACCTTAAAGCACTTGTTGCTGGCTGCTGAGTTTGCATCTTTTGCATCCCTCAGCTCAGTCTCCAGAAATCTGAGGTGATGTTGGCGTTCATGCCAAATTTCCTCAGCCTCCTCAGGAAATAAAGCCGCTGGCGAGCTTTCCTGATAGCAGTGTCTGTGTGAAGAGTCCAGGAGAAGTCCTCGGTGATGTTGACTCCAAGGAATTTGAAGCTGCTGACCCTTTCGACCTTGACACCGTTGATGTGGATGGGCTGGTGTTCCCTGACTGGTCGTTTCCGGTAGTCCACTATCATTTTTCTAGTTTTGCTGATGTTGAGAGTCAGGTTATTTTCCAGACACCACTCGTACAGTGCCATCACCTCCTCTCTATACGCCGTCTCGTCGTTGTCTGTGATGAGGCCTATGATGGCTGTGTCATCCGCAAACTTGATGATGATGTTGGACTCATGTTTAGCAACACAGTCGTGTGTGAACAGGGAATATAGGAGGGGGCTAAGCACACAACCCTGTGGCGTACCTGTGTTTAGGATGAGCGATGAGGAGGTGTGCTTACCGACTCTCACCACCTGGGGCCTGTTTGTGAGGAAGTTTAGAATCCATCTGCAGATTGGTGTTCCCAGCCCAAGGTCGACGAGCTTCGTGGCAAGTTTTGAGGGGATGATGGTGTTAAATGCCACACAAATATGTGGAACCAAATAAGCTCAGCATTTTCTTAGCAAGAGATCACACCTCAGGAAACCTGTCTTTGTCTATAGCTGCCGATAAAAGTCAACAAGAGAACACTGCCGGTGTTTTCTGCGGCACTCATCGTCACACTGCAGCTCAATGAGCTCCCGCTGAAGCTGCGGAGGAGCATCATCAGGTTCCATGGAGAAGGGAGATGAGAAAAGCAGCATGTCTTTTTCGATAGCTGCAAAGTCCTGAAAGCGTTTGTTAAATTCTCCAGAAAGAAATGCGATAGCTGTTGCGTAACTCTTCATTTGGACATTAATGTCCACTGGGAAACTGTCAATAACCTCTTTCAAAACTGGGAAGTGTGCGGTACAGGGCTCTGTTAGGGACAAGTGTCTTTGGAAAAGTTGCAGTTTGGTTCCAAAGACCTTGATGTGAGCATATAGTTGGCTCACCACTACGTCTTTTCCTTGAAGATTAACATTCAGCGCATTCAGATACTTCGTAATGTCAACCAAAAAAGCCAGATTTGCCAGCCATACAGGATCAGACAGTTCTTCCATTGGTTGTCCCTTCTCATCTAAAAACTGTCTGATTTCCTCTCTGAGAGAGAAAAATTGCTGTAGTGCAGACCCCCGACTTAGCCACCTCACATCATTGTAATAAATTACGTCACCATATTCAGCCAGGATGTCATGCAGAAACTGCTGAAACTGTTGGTGGTACAGAGCTTTAGAGCGAATACAGTGTTGTGTGCCAAGCAAACACTCAGAAATTCTTGCTTCTTCTCTGGGCAAATGTTCTCCACCATTTTCATGACACAGTGTTAGTGTCACAGAAATGGTTTATGTATAAAGAAGTTTAATAGATGGTTCCAGCAGTTAAAATGTTCTTGCTTGTACATTTCTGTGGACAATATTGTAAAGGTGCGTTTATCTTGTCACAAAGAACAAGTTTTGTTACACCGCTATTATCGCAAGGTTTTGGGCGTGATAATATAGGCTGTGAGCCCACGTTTAATAATCATGCTAAGGAGTTCAGCGAGCTATCTGCAAAGGCCTGGTTAGTCTACTAACTGTACAAGCTATTTGTCATTTGCTATAACTGTATTGTAATATTGTGAAAATTTGTAATGTATGGTGTTCTAATTATTTTATGTTTTAATTTAGAATGCACAGTAAGGTTATTGTTCTAGGACCTCCGAAGTGGCAGGCGGCCACGAGGTAATTTCTTGTTGTTAAAGCACAAGTGTTACTTTTGATAGACTGAAGCGCTTAAAGCCTTTGTGTTTTATGTTTGTAATTTTTTCACGGCGTTCAATAAATGCAGCGAAGCGCCCGTCTTGAAGAAGCCGTGCCTGTGTTGTCATTTCGGAGTTACACACAGTCTTTGACAAACGTACCTTCAGTGAAAGGTTTGCCATGTTTAGCTATTAACATAGCCACTTCGTAGCTGGCTTTCATGATATTTTCATGTGTCTCACAGACCCGCATGAAAAATCGCTGTTGCGAAGCCAGAGCAGCTTGGAGTTGCTTCACTTTTTCAGCGCACTCACTCCCTGTTACCTTGTTATATGTTGCAGCATGTTTAGTCTCGTAGTGTCTCCTAATGTTAAAATCCTTAAACAAGGCAACAGTCTCTTTACAAATCAGGCAAACACAATTGCCTCGAATTTCAGTTAAAAAAAACTGCAATTCCCACCACTCCTGAAAGCGGCAGCTCTCACCATCAACCTTTCTCTTTTTTTGTACAGTCGCCATGGCAGAAAAGAGCAGAGAAAGGCGGGCTCGCAGCACAGGTGCAAGTAGCGGGGGGGGGGGGGGGCGGTGCTGCCACCATGTGGTGAAAAAAGAATTACACCTTTAAATTCATGATTTATTTATTCAGACTTAGAAAGTTATAATTAGACTGAAGCTGTGGGCCACTTGGAATCTGACGGACTTTGGACATGCCTGGTTTATTAGGTGGTATTGTGGTGATTCTCTGGTTGGGAAATGGGTGTTCATTAGTGGTGTAACGGATCACGGTTGATCCGTAAGATTGGAAAAAGAAGAAAAAAAAGTATGTGTATGGTGCGCGTGGTGGGTCTGTCAAGCATTAGTTATGGCCAGCGCTAGCAGAGGAGTTTGCGGTATTTAAGCAGCCCTTTGCTGCCCAGTCCGACCGGGCTAAAGCTATTACAGAAGCTATTGGGGTGTTTAGCTGCAGACGTTGTGCAAAACAAGGGGTTTAAACTATGATGAATGTGCTTGAGCCACGCAGTGATATCCCGTTGCACGTCCGCTTTAGTGGCAAGATCGTTCCAAGCATGTATGAGCAGGAAAAGATTTAAGTTATGGCTGAACTGTCCCAGGCATCTTTTGTTGCTCTAACTACTACAAATGGGTGGACCTCCAGGGCAACGGAAAGCTACGTGACCGTGACAGCTCATTATATCACAGCGGAGTGAGATATAATGAGCGGTGTGTATTATTGTAGGGTCTACCTTACAATATAAAGCACCTTGAGGCGACTATTGTTGTGATTTGGTGCTTTATAAATAAAATTGAATTGAATTGAGTGGTAGATACAAAGCCCTATACTGCCCTATACTGTATTATAATGTTTTTTTTAATAATTGCGTGGAATGAGTCTTGAATTGAATGTTTTTAACAGGCAAAAAATACTTCTGACATAAACGGTAGTAACCAGACCGAAAAGCAGTGCACATTTCAGGGCTTTATTTCAGTGCTTTTTTTTTTACTGAGATGTCATACACTTTGGATTCTAGCCAATCATTTTACCTTAGCAAGCATAGTAGGTGGGGCCAGGTACGTACGTTCTTTTAGAGCAGAGCTACAGATTAAAAATGCCCAAGTCAAAAGTCTGGCTGTACTTCACAGCAAAAGATTCAAACTCAGCAGCCTGCAACAAGTGCTTTAAGGTACTGTGCAAAGGAGGTAACTCCTCGAATCTGATGAAACACTTGGCGATGCATAGCGTTTTTTTAAAAGCTGAGAAATGCGCCGTATTTGATAGCTTGACCTGCGACACCTCACACCGTGCACATCTACTGCGGGTGTGGTGCCTGTTATCGGACCTGGAGTTTGCAACATCCCTCAAGAACCCGAAGAGGTGAGTCCTGGCCCCTAGCCCTGCCAGTGTAGCAGAAATGATGACAGATGATGATGGCAGCAACAGCGTTCTTCTCTGCATCAGTAGCTTAATGTTGTTCGTGTGTAATTTACGTTGAGTAGGCTAACCACGTTATTAAATTAATGCATGTAAGGTGAACTAGCAAACACTGTCATAGTTACATGCGGCTGTCTTCTTGTTTGATGGCAGATACTCCCTTCACCCTGGCCAAAAAGGCTAAAATGGCCAAAGAAAAAGTGGAAAACAGCTAAACATGAGAGGTTTTTGGACAAAGTTTGTGTTCTTCATTCTTTAAGCACCGGTTTAAGCACCGGCACCGTTTCAAAAGTACAACAACCAGGACATCAAGGGCCAGATAAGAGCCATCACTGTTCATTATTTTCAATCTTAAACTCAGTTGTGTGTCAATTAAATCCAGGTAATGCAAGCCATTTCCAGGAATGGACTCTTCAGTTATGGCTGAAACATGGAGCATCTCTAATTGAAAACTGGGTGAGGGGGCTGTGAAGAGATCCTTTTAACACGTTTTTACACACACACACACACACACACACACACACACACGCACGGGTCCCCAAAAACAGTTGTCTAAAAAGGATGAAATTTTTTTGTCAAAAAAGTAAACCTTTTGGCTTTAACATGGGTGGGTGGCTGTAGCTCAGGTGGCAGAGCAGGTCAACCGCTAATCAGAAGGTCGGTGGTTCGATCCCAGGCTGCCTCCTGGTTGCATGCCAAATATCCTTGGGCAAGATACTAACCCCATGTTTGCCTACTGGTGGTGGTCAGAGGGCCCGGTGGCGCCGGTGTCCGGCAGCCTTGCCTCTGTCAGTGCGCCCCAGGGCAGCTGTGGCTACAATGTAGCTTGCTGTCACCAGTGTGTGTGTGAATGGGTGAATGACTGAATGTAGTGTGAAGCGCTTTGGGGTCCTTAGGGACTAGAAAAGCACTATACAAATGCAGGCCATTTAACATCCTATTTATCATCCTATTACATCACCATACTTCCATGATGATATATTTTGGGTCATATGATTATTTATATTGTTTATTATATAATTTTATGATATTCATAAAAATTATGACTTTCGTAAACCTTTATTACTTCCTTTATTACTTCTTCTGTCATACATCATTTGACGGCGGGTCATAAATCACTGGTTTGATACAAAGTACCTATTATCCCTCCAATTGGATACTTCCAATAAGGTTCAGATCTGGGACTCTCCACCAGTTGCTCTTAGAACTGAAGAAGCTTCTCAGATGAGTGGTGAAACTTCTTTTTTTTTCTTTTGTCATTTTAAAGCAGTGGTTCTTAACCTGGGTTCGATCGAACCCTAGGGGTTCGGTGAGTCGGTCTCAGGGGTTCGGCAGAGCCTCCACCACGGCTCATTTTGTGCACCAGTAAAAAACATATCTATGTCTTGAATTTGAAAAAAATCATATTTTATTTTTCACTAAAGAGGGGTTCAGTGAATGCGCATATGCAACTGGCGGGGTTCGGTACCTCCAACAAGGTTAAGAACCACTGTTTTAAAGATGTCTATATAAGTAATTGTATTTTACAATTCTTCAGCCAATTAGAAATACGGGTTGCAAGGATAAAGAGTTGAGTAAACATAAAAGAAAGAAAGATAAGTATCAAACAAGGTTTTTTAAACTTATCTAATCCGTAGCTAAATTACAGAGGAATATTTGTGTTGGTTTTTTGGGTGGAGGTAGCACACACTTGAATATACTGCTCTTGCTATACCAGTAAACACAGGTGTCATAAAATAAACAAGGGATGGGCAGTTAAAACAACTTTAACATGGCCACAGTGGGACAAAGGTTTATTGTAATATGTTTTCATTATTTACCTTCCACCAGTTGAAATCTTCCTCCAAGGGTTTATGTTTCTGTGACATAAAAGGTTTAGGAGATTCACTAATGATGTCATTAAACCAAGGATCACTGTCTGTTAGACATTTGTGACAGGCACAAAGTCTTGACTCCTGATGACAGAAGGTATATCCAGATAAATTCCATAAAAGGATGGAGACCAAAACAATTGCTGTGATACTCAGTAGTGGGGAAATGTGCACTCTGAATTTTCCCCTTTTGAAATACATCTTGATGGAGTTCCAATCTATGAACAAATACAATGTGAGTGAATGTGAAAATTAGCACTAAGCCTTTAAGAAAACAGTAACAGAAATGATAACTCTTTAATTAAAATTATTTATAGTTGGCAACATATTAAGAGCACTGCACTGGAAGGCAGAAAAATCAGATAAACATAGAAGGTTTAATGTCCTCTTGTATTTATGGTATTTGCACAGATAGCATTTACCAGCATAAACCAGCTGCTACTCCTGAGCACATCACGGTGTGTTGCCTAAAGTTGAATCAAATAGCATGACAGCCAACAGAAAGGAAAACACAGAACTTAAAATACTTTCAGAGTCTGTCGGTTTGTGTAATTGCATGAATTACTTGTGCCATTGTAGTATTAACTCTATTGCTGATGAATAACCTAAAATATCATCTCTAATACATATATATATATATATATATATATATATATATATATATATATATACATACATACATATATATATATATATATATATATATATATATATATATATATATATATATATATATATATATAGACACACACAAACACACACATATAGTGAGAGAAAAATACATTTGGGAAACTTAATGACTGGAGGTTCAGTACAGATTAGTGTGAGATGAGACAGAGTGTAAATTTAAGGTGTCTTACCAGCAAAAAGATGAAATTACAAAAGCAGGAATATGAGTCAAGAAGAACCTGTATGATACATCTACCAAGCTATCTATGTAGCTATCAACAAAAGAGGAACTTTTCAAAAGGAGAGGGAGGGAGGGGTTATGGACTATGTGCAAACAGTTATTGGGGTTGTGTCTGACTTGTGAATTGCCACACAACTGTTGCACACAATTTAAATGTTTTATGTAAACCCACAAAACATACACACACAAATATACATACATACGTATAAATATATAATCTATTAGCCTGTTACTCAGCAGTAATTAGCTGAAATTTGTGTCCATGCTTTGCACCATAACATTTTATGAATACTTCTTACTAGAGGATCTTTCTCATTAGCTGAAAATAATTCCACCCTCATATATGGTCATATCTCTAAAAAAAACTCTAACTAAAAAAAACCATATAGAACATTGTGGGTTAAAAATATGCAAAAAACACTGAAAATTCAATGAGGCTAAAAGAACGCATATGACCAAGTCAAAAAGTAAGAGAAGCTGTATAAATAAAGCTACCACTTTCTGCCAAAACAGCTAAAGGTAAGTAGAGAATGTTATAAACAAACCATAGTCTTTAATCTAGAGCATAACAGATAAATATTCAATTACACTACTCGTAAAAAAGAAAAGAAAGACAAAGTTAGTACAAAAATAGTGATCCTTTGTCACACCTCAGCCGCTGTCTTAAGTTGAAGCTTTCGAGATGAAAATATTTGCATAAAGTACACATTATGATATTTGCTGTTGGCTGATGCTGATCACTAGTGTGATAACTGTGTGAGTTATCTCAGGCTTGCGGAACATACATGATATTTAATGTTAATTTTATAGATATCAGAGGAGCATTTTATTGATATTTGTATATATATTTGACCATTTCAGCCCTTTGGTACTCCTTCCATTATAACAGTTAGAGTAAATCATTTAAAGTGCCATTGAATTGGCCTTGGATGTGTACATTAATTCCCTCTAAAGAAATTTCAGATCTTTAATTTTAAACTTGAAAGCGTTTATACATTTTGGGTATTATTTTTGTCAATTCTACTTTGTTTACTTGTTGAGTCACTGGATATAAGCTGCTTAGGTGAGGTCTTTATTTTTACAATCATCATCAATCTAATGGCAGCAGCTGTGCTTTGAGGAAAAGAATGTTGACAGAGAAGGTGTGGACGCAACATGTCAGCACATGAACTGTCAGTGGTACAGATAAAAAGGTGTGGTATAGAATAGAATAGAATAGAATAGAATAGAATAGAATAGAATTCAACTTTATTGTCATTGAATCACAGGTACAGGGCAACGGAACGCAGTGTGCATCCATCCAGAAGTGCTTTAGCCATGATATAGATATATTACAATATATATTAGCAATAATATAGATATGTAAGTATATTACAGAAATGGGTCTATTACGGTATGTAATATGCACACAGTATGAAGTATGTTATGAATATGCTATAACTATAAGTATGTACAGGCTGTAGTGAGTACAAGCTATGTACAGGCAATGAACAGGATATAAATGTGAAAAAAACTATACAGAATATGAAGGAAATTCATATATGAGATATACAGCTATACAGAAATGGGAACTATGCAAGTTGTAAACAGTTATAGAATTAAAAATTATCGTATGATTATTTACACAGAACTATACAGTAGTGCAGTTAAGAGGCTATATAAAGTGCTAGTGGTTGTGAGTGGTGGTTCAGTCCATGTTATTATTGTGTGTTTGAGGGTACTGTTGTCCATTGTGTGTGTGTGTGTGTGTGTGTAGGTGGTTGTGGCTGTGTGTATGTCCAGTCCATGTGTTAACGTGGGTCAGATGTCAGGAGGCAGAGTTCAGGAGCCTGACAGCTGTGGGGAAGAAGCTGGCTGTATCCCAATTCAGGGTCTGCAGCCTTAAAGTACGCAGCCTCAACAGTCCTCAAGGGCAGCGTACTCAAAGACCGCTAAGGCCGGAAGTGTGAGGCTTGTGAAATGGGACGGTCTAGCCTCCGTCGCGCTGCCCAGGTTGCCTAGCAACCATGTGAATAGCTTCAGAAATGTGTGGTTGACAGAAATGAAGGAGAGCATATTTTGTTTGTTTATTTGTTTCTAAATGAGCTTTGTGTGATTTAATAAGTATCTGAGGCTGAGACCACAGGACTGTAAAACATGATTGTTGGGCTTCATATCTGTACTATCAGCATGTGCTGACCACTCAGTGCATTTTATCAACAACTTTAATATTTTTTGGGAACGCAGGCATCTGTTTAAAGCAAATGGATTTAATTTTAACAAGTCAGGGGTGAAACTGTTCACCTCCAACTTGTTTTATTCCATACGTCATCCATCTGTGCTTGGTGCCAAGGCTGAGATAAACGAGGAGTTATCTCATAAAGAGGAACAAACAGTACTCCAAGAACAGACAAAGCCCAGCAGAAACCTTGAGGAGGAGCTCCATCTGCCCCCACCCGGGAAGAGCCTCAGAAAGGAGAGGCATCTGAGGCAAGAAGAGGGGTCCCTATTTGCCTCCAACTCTTTCAACAACACAGACGACCAGGACCAGGACCAGGGACCACGATCTTCCCCAGTTCCCCAAACCCCTGACAGGCCATCACCCCCATCACCCTCCTCCTCCTCCCTTTCTCCCTCCTGCCCACACCTGAAATTCACTGAGGAATTGATGGAGCGGGTCAATGCTGGGCTCAGATCTACCCCCCGGCCCAATCCCTTTTTGTCCCCCATAAACCCCCCACCAGAGCAGCTAAAGGTTCGCCATCGAGCCCCACCCTCAACAGAGCAATCGAAGTCACATTGCCCAGCCTCGCCCCCCTTAGTTCCTCTTTACCACCTTCATGCTCTGTCTCCACAGTCTGATGTGTGATGTGTGGAGGGTCTGGGCTGCGAGGATTATGGCAGTGGAAGAAGCTGGGACCCTGTTTACTAGAAGGTTTTAAAATTTCTGTACTTTTAGGTGACAGGAGACATGTGGCCTGGTCAAAACACAGAGAGCTGCACTCTAAAAGATCTTTAAATATAGTAAACATACCTTGTGTGCCACAGACTGCTCCCAAACACGAGGGGACAAGTAATGCCTCTAAAACACTTAAGTTGGCTTTATTAAATGTTAGATCTTTAGCTGGGAAAACATTTTTAATTACCGTATTTCCCGGACTACAAAGCGCACCTGAATATTAGCCGCACAAGCTAAAATCAGGGGAAAATCCTGTTTTGTACATACATTAGCCGCACCTGACCAAAAGCCGCAGGTGTTTCGATGTTGACTTATCATATGTCAGAGAATATGCACAAAGGGAATTGTCAGAAAAGAGATGGCTGTTTGGAGACACACCCCTTTTATTAATATTTTGAAAAACAAGTTATGGGTACATATTTGCACATGTAGTACATAACAGTAACCTACAGCACACCAGAAAAATAGATTCAGACTACCTTTTAGGCTCAGGTGCAGTGACACAGCTTTAACAAGAAGAAAAGTCAGTCATTCACCACCATCTTTCTCTTCTTCCTGCGCACTAAAACCACCAAAGTCCTCTTCTCCAGTGTCGGATACAAACAGGCTCAGGATGGCTTCGTCATCCACTCTCCGCTTCTCTCCTTCGTTGTCACTTTCAAAACCAAAGAAATCCTCATTGTCAGTGTCGGTGTCCTCCTCTCCATCATGCAGCAGTCCAGCCCTTCAAAATCTGGTGGTGATCGCGGATGTTTTCACACTTTTCCACGCTGTCAGAATCCACCGGTGGAGTTGGGCATAACTTGCTTTTCGCAAGTTTATCGCCGCTCATCATCCACGCCTCCCGCTGAACGCGTAGCGCTACTTTGAAGTTTGTTTTTCACGCTACTTCGTACGGCACTACATTGCCTGGCGGACGGACATGTGACTAACATACCACTCTTGAACCCCGATCCTTCCGCCAGGCAACGTAGCAGAGGTGGGACCAAGTCATTGTTTTGCAAGTCTCAAGTAAGTCTCAAGTCTTTATCCTCAAGTCTCAAGTCAAGTCTCAAGTAATGTCAGGCAAGTCAGAGTCGAGTCTCAAGTCACTGGTGTAAAAGTCCAAGTAAAGTCACAAGTCTGAAATTTTGAATTTCAAGTCCTTTC